CCCCCCCCCCCCCCCCCCCCCCACCCCTCCCAACCGTATTCCTATCACCAACAGGTAACACTTGCTAACAATGAAAGGCTTACCGAGGTTCAGAACACAACATTTTACTAAACAAATTCCGAGCCAGAAGAGCAGGAAAAGCAGGCCGTATTGTTGAAAGCACTCAGGATACAGAATTCATCTCTTGGTAAACTGTAACATCAAGGGATTTTTATGAAGTCACTTACTATAACATTATGCCGGTATAAGTCATCTGACCCTAATCAGTGTTCTTTAGAGAGGAAAATATTTATTGTGGCCTAAATCTTCTCTGGAGCTCAGAGAAATTTTCTCACCTTGAAATATATAGAGTATTACTCAGTGCCACGAAAATAATGAATTTAGCAGAGAAATGATAATTACAGATTTGGTCGATGAAGTCTGAAGGTACATGTATACCAGAGTAAACCCTTTTTTCATAAATGAGCATAATGACCCTCCGCTCCTATTTCAAAAACTAGCTTCTAGGAAGTTAGAAGCACACTGTGACAAACGCTTTGAGGTAAGTTCTAATTAATAACCGGAACCGCTAATTATCTGTCACTTGACTAGGTCGGCCGGTCAATGAATAGTGGCTGAAATACTCAATTTTACCTTCAGAATGTTTGAGCACGAACAAATTGAAGCTAGTGATAGGCACTGTCTTCTTTGTGCTTATTTTAAAAAGTCTTTCGATATCAACATTAATGGTAATTATTGTACTAATAATTACAATGATGATAAAAAAAAATTCTTAGGATATACTAAGACAGTGGATAGCGTTGAAATCGCGCTCTGATTGGCCACTCAAATTCTGCATTCCCCTTCTTATTCACCTCTAAGCAACGCGCGCGGCATTTGCACCAGAAATTATTGTAGTCATTGCAAGAATAAATGAGTGTTCTTTTTGTGCTATATTAACTCACTGTTTTAGTATATACTCATTTACTAAAACAACCATTCAACTCAGTGTGGGTGGCAAGTGCGGATATTTTCTTCCCCGTTTCGTAGCTCGGAAAATAATTTCCACCAGCAACCTCCACTTTGGTAAATATTTGTTAGTGATAGACTAGCTATGAGCAGTCTCTCCTTCTCGGTGAAGTCTGACTTGCAATTTAAAAAAAATCATTAACCTTATGAACTCAGATGATGAAACCCTATTATCTCATACCCCAATCACAAAAAATGTAGGGATAATGTTTAGTGAAAAAGATGTTGGTGACAAAAAGTTAGAAAGCAAGGCCAGTTATGAAACAATAAAACATTGTTCACCATTCCTTTTATGAAAACGACGGAAGTAATCAGGACTGGGCTCTAGACACTTCCTCTATCATTATCCGGGATACTGATTGCCATCCAGTGTAAGCATCACCCAGGGTATGACCACTGGGACACTTTCCTACCCATAACTCCACAGTAACCCTGCCCTGTGGAATGTTTTCACAGTATCCCTCAAATGATCTGTGATGAAGCAGATTAGGAATCCCAGATGGCCAGCTGTTGTACACAACAGCCTCAATTGTCATTGGTCCACTGCATTCATTTCCATTAAACTTGAAGAACCACCGGTTGCATCTATATGAAGTGCCTCTCACTCTCATATTTCCCTGGAATGAGACTTTAATAGCTGTATCAGACTGCAGCTTGTTGAATGAGCAATCCTATAAAAAAATGCCAAGAATACAGTCTTAGTGCGAAAAAAAAAGAAGCTCTATAAGAGTATTATAGGAAACAATTTTATGATGACCTTTTCCTGCTGCTAGCATGCACAGAATTGTTAATTGATATTTTTAGTTTGGCTGCATTTCTCAAAAGTCTCTTTCAGAGATGGCCATGACAAATTGGCTCTAACACTTAATTTATTTTTCGTTGCATTTTCTAGATATTTCTGTACCTTAATCTTTCCACTATCTCTATTATCATCGAGATTTTTCCACACACACTGTTTCCAGTTGGTCTGTGACACTGCACTATTCACGATTTCTCCTTTCTCTCCTTTAGATCCCTGCTCACCTTTCACACCCTTGATTCCTGGCGGTCCACTGCTGCCACGTGACCCTTCATCACCTTTATCTCCTTTTATTCCCATCATTCCAGGTGCACCATTTTTACCAAGTGATCCTGGATTTCCTTTTTGTCCTCTTGTTCCCATCATACCTCTCGGTCCCTTGACACCAGGCTCCCCCTTAGCTCCATCTTTTCCTTGTTGCCCTTGCGGCCCTGGAGCGCCAGGAATTCTCGGCATTCCTGGTATGCCATTCGATCCTGGAAT